ATATATATATATATATTTTAGATTTGGTTCTTCCACTCTATATACCGGAATTGAACGAACAAATTTGTTTTATGGTAGCATAGAACCAGAAGTAACACGACTTATTACATGCCATGGTACGGGGGATCCATGGTACAAGATGGGATTGCTGAATGATTTAAATGAGAACGCAATTACAATTCTTGTTAACGGTACCTCGCATTCTGCCGATTTGTACTCGATTAGGGATTCCGATTCCGATGAGTTAAAACAGGCCAAAATCAGGATTATGAACACAATAAGTGCCTGGATATATGAAATAGAAGGAGAAGGTGGTTCAACAGCAACAATTCCAGTAACGACTACAACAATTAATCCAGGAATAATTACAACTAATGTACCTATACCTACATCTCCACCAACTGTTGGGAATGAAGATAATGATAATAATGCGGATAATTTTGCTATATCAAATGCCCCAACGATGGCCATTTTTCTCAGTGTTTTATTGATACTATTGACGTGCTGAATATAATTATATCTTAAAGATTACATAAATAATATATAAAAAAATATTAACCTACCTTTATATTTACTAATAGTGTAAATTAATACTTGATACAGCATCAGTATTCAATTCCCGTATTTTATTAAAAAAAAATGTGTCCTTAGAAACCTACATAAGCCTATTAGGCATTCTCTGAATGTCCCAGGTTCACTAGTATCATTAGTATGTAATGATGTGAAAAATTCCTTTTATAGGGCATACGCAGTATTTTTTTTATTGTACATTACCCTTTTCATAAGTTCAGATGAAATTTATTAATATAGGAGTTCTACATGGTGGAATATTTTTTTCCTTATATTTTTTTTTTAATAGATGATACATATATGGTACTTACTACATAAATTATGGTATTGGTTGTAATGTAAATTTCATATTACTTAAAACACTCTGTGTAAGAGCATTGGCTAAACGATACTTCAATTGAGGAAAGGTCAAGAGAACAAAAACAAGAAGATTTCAATAATAAAGTTTAAATTAGGTTAAGGTTATAAACCTTTTTTGTTTTGGACATATTTTTATCAGAGGAAAAAAGATATGCCAGAAAATTTATTAGTTTGTGTTCCTGGACAAAGACTTTGTCTTTCAGATAAAAGTCATATTGCTGGACAGGGAACTTATGAAAGAGGGGGCTACATATATTCTACATTGGCTGGTTTGGTTGATGTTGTTGATAATGAAGGGGTAAAACTGGTCCAATCTATTTCTCTTTTGATTTAAGAAAGTCTTAACTTTCAGGTGAAAGTAATAGAAGTCCATAGTTGTGGAGAACAAACATTGGTACCTGCACAGGGAGATATTGTTACTGCTCAGGTTACAATTATAACTCAGCAGTCATGTAAATGTATTATAAAATGTATTGGGGATACCGTTTTAAGCAGACCTCATCGTGCAATTTTGAGAAGGGAAGACATTAGAGCTACAGAAAAAGACCGTGTTGAAGTATATAAATGTTTCAGGCCAGGTGATATAATTCTAGCAAGAGTTGTATCCTTTATAAGACTATTAACTTTCAAGAAACATAAAAGCGTTTCCCTTAATATTTTTCTAGCTTCCTATAACAGAGGCACATTCCTATCAGCTCTCAACTGCTGAAAATGAATTGGGGGTTGTTATGGCCCATTCAGAAAATGGCCATCCCATGGTACCCATTAGCTGGACAGAAATGCAGTGCGTGAAAACATTTGTCAAAGCTCCTAGAAAAGTAGCAAAAGTGGTTCCAGAAAATTTTAAAATGGATTCAGATGAAACATGAGACTAATTGTATTAAAACTTAACACTGTAAGCAAATCTGTTTATTGTTAGTGGATTTTAAATATAAATAGAAACAATTAAAAAAATGATTCTCTTGTTGATTTATCCTGTGTTACATATGATAAATCATTTATTTTATAAATGTGGCATCTATTACATTTCTTAAACGTGAAAGTTTGTAGGTTAGATTTGTGTTGAGGTTATGTGCATTTTAATGCTGTGCAAGTGGCAGAGGTTTTTAGAAGCACGTCTCATTTTCATTCTGGATTAGTTATTATTGTGTTGAATAAGTGTGGAATATGGACAGTAATTCTGACGAATCAGATTATAACGATAGCGATGCAGAGGTAATTTTTGTCCATTTTATTAGTAGCAATAAATAATGCACTTTTGTTCATTTAATTTTAGTTGCAAGAAGCATTTTCAAAGGGCCTCTTAAAGCCTGGATTAAACCTAGTTGAAAAGGCTCCTAAAACTTGTGTAAATAATGTAAGTACTTTACTTTTCATGAGATTTTTGTGATGATTTATATATGTTAAATTGCAGAGTGGATTGAAGCAAAAGTTAAATGAAATTAAATTAAACCTTGATTGGGTTGAACGATTAGATTGTACCAACAAAGAAGCTCCCTTGGCACCAGAGTTAGCTGCACAAATATTACAACAAGAACAAAAGAGAGAAAATGAAATAAGAAATAATAAAAAATTGCCTCAAGTTCCACTTAGTGAAGACCCTGTTCTAAATGATTTTAAGAGAGAAATGATGTTTTTTAGACAAGGTCAAGCTACAGTGTTGGAAGCCATTCCACGTTTAAAAGCACTTAATATTCCAACAAAAAGGTAGATTTTATTATTGAATTTGCCTGTATTGAAAATATTCACTTTCTTATATTAATTTGAAATTTGGTAAATTTATTGGCTGGTGGCACCATAATATTCTAGTGTTAAGAACTTAAGGTTTATATATTGAATGAAAAGTACTTCATATGTTGGTAGTTGTAAAGAAACAACATTCATCATTCAATTTTTAATTTGTACTGTTTTTCTCTTTTTTTTAATCCAAGTTGTATTAATTTATCTTCAAACACTTCATATTATAGGCCAGATGATTACTTTGCTGAAATGGCAAAAACTGATGAGCACATGCAGAGAATTCGTGAAAATTTAATGAAAAAGCAAATGCAACAACAGAGAAGTGAAAAGGTCAAACAGTTGAGGGCCCAAAAGAAGGAAGGCAAAGCTCTTCAGGTTCAAGCAAAACTGCAAAGGCAGGAAAGGAAGAAACAAATTTTAGAACATGTTAAGAAAGTCCGCAAAGGTGTTCTCAAAGATTTGGATTTTGATGATAATAAAAACAATAATAAGAACTACAAAAATAATGTAAACAGTAAAAGAAAGTATAAGGACATTAAATATGGTAATAAAAGAGGAAATAGTAATATGAAAAACACAAAAAAAGTGTTTTACAAAAAACGAAAGAACAAAAATAAAAAACAGAAGTAGTTTTTATGCTGTGTATTTTTTATCAATAAAATATTTTTACATTTATTAATAATTAGTAATCTATTTAGATAAACATTATGGCAGTACATTTTATGGCATTAAAATTTCTTTGTAATTATTTAAGCTTTTTGAATTCCTTATTTATAAAATTCATTAATTTCTCTTCATAAATTTGTCTTTGTATATAAGAGACCGCTTCCTATGAACAGTAAAGTATTATAATTCTAAAATAACAATGTGAATAAAAACTTACAGGTCTTGGTGTAAAAAAATAGTCCTCAACTTCAGGTAACTGAAGATAATAATTCATATTTGAACGCATTACTTGATCATCAGGAAAGAAGAGTAAATAACTTGCAACAGCTGCACAAGTTGCTTGATAGTTTTTCTCTAAAAAAGATAAAATAAGTAAAAGTAATACATTAAAGATTTAAAATAATGTATTTACCTTTAAAATATGAATATTGTAAATAGTCATAGTGACTTGGTAAAAAGTCATCTTGTTTCTCCCCATTTAAAGAGTTCAGGGTGTTTTTACATTCTCTTTTGCACTTTAAAACAAATGTGAAATGGTCTGAAATGAGGAATGTTAATAAGAAAATTGATTTTTTTTTAATAATTTAATTCAATACTTGCAATAGCTGGCATAAAATCAGGATACCATCCATTGTGACCAAATGGCCCTTCACATTGGGCTCTGCATTCTTCCTCTGACTGTATATAAGATGATAGAGATTCCTCCATATAAGCAATTGCTGCTACCCAATCTTTTTTGTTATACACATCAACACCAAGGGCATAAAAAGCAACATAGTCCTAAAACAAAGTTTTAGTTAATCAACAAGGATACTTTTTTATTTACAAAAAGGGTAGCATACTTTTGCTTCATAGTTGACAATGTCATTCTGGACAACATCTGGAAGGGTCAAATAATGTTTTAAACTTATTCTGGTTGTGTTATCATTTGGATTAGTCACTAAATATGTGAAAGCAGCTGAAGCTGCCTTTTGGTAGTTTTTGTTCTGAAATAAAATTTTCTTTATAGTAGGTTTAAATTTTTAATAAACTAATTAAGTATATAATATGGATTATTTTCTTCTTCCCTGCTCAACCCTTACTTGAAAATAACATAAATGCAAATATTCATAAGGAGTTTTATTATGAAACTTCCTTTCAATTTCCACAGGAATGTTATTGAACTCTATTAAATCTGGATGTTCATTTTTACATTTCATTATACATAGTGTATTTCGAACTGCTTTTTCAAAAAATCGTAAGTTGTTAACGTCCAAGGAATACAAAGGAATTGAGTCTTCAACTTCTTTGGCACATTCTAATCTACAGTTCTGAAGCTGTTTTGAAAGAATATTGTATTTCTCAACTGCTTTCTCTAATTTCTCTATACATCCTTTAAAATTATTTTCCAAGTAGGAATTAATGCCTTCTTGCATGAGCACTTCACACGAATCACTATCCTCCTTTTGGTTTTCGTCATTACAATGCGTTACATTTAGTAACAAGAATTTAAAAATTATGTACATAAGAAGGAACTGTTTACTAGAAGGCATGTTGACCCTTATATCTAATTAAATGAGCCAATTTTACTAAAAATATTACAGTCTTATAAACAATGTTACTAAATTAAACATCCTGCTGATTAGAATGTTCAATTTTTAATGATGCTCTGAATTTTTCCTTGAAATACACTATACACACGTCTCAAATATATTATTTACTAGAATGAAAGAATATAGTACACATGCATATGTGATTCCTACACGCACGTTCTACTTACTATGTTTTACTTAATTTAAGATACCTAAACTCTTCGTGTTAACTGTAGTATATAATGCTCAAGTAAAATGCTATATATATAGACACTTACGTAATTGCAAACTGCAATTTCATTAATGAATACAGTAGATAAACTCTTTCATGTAAGAACCATTTATCTTTTATAATTGTTACGAATGTTATGTAGTAAAATGAGTATATTTTCGATCGATTTAATTTATTCAAGACACAAGCAAATCTGTTTATTGTTAGTGGATTTTAAATATAAATAGAAACAATTAAAAAAATGATTCTCTTGTTGATTTATCCTGTGTTACATATGATAAATCATTTATTTTATAAATGTGGCATCTATTACATTTCTTAAACGTGAAAGTTTGTAGGTTAGATTTGTGTTGAGGTTATGTGCATTTTAATGCTGTGCAAGTGGCAGAGGTTTNAATTTAAAAAAAAGGTAGTGAAACTTTTTCGTTAAAATGCTTTCTACAAAAATTATGCATCACAGAAAAAGTTACAATGAACAATAATTTTTCCATCTAATTTCTATACATATACGCATAACTTTTTATTGTTGCTATTACAACAAAATGTTACTCATATTTGCAAGGTAGCAAAAAAAGGGGCCGATCCTGGGAACTTAACATGGCGTCCTGTGCAACTAAAAGAAAAGTTTGTCCCCCTATATCTTATATGTTGCATTGGTTATTTTCAGTTTATTCTTCAGCTAGATTTAGCTATTTGTGTTGTAGACTTAATTGATGCATATTTAATACCAGGAAAAGCAATAGGTATGTTACATGGCTTACACACCTTAAGTATAAATTCTTTATAATTACAAATTAATAGTTACCTTCAACGAGCAATAAAAATCGACAGAAAAAACTAGTATATAGTTATATATTGACAGAAACTATTTATTATAAAAGTATATGTTTTATGCCTGAAAACATACGTTTTCAGCATTTCAACTCAATTAAATTTCAGTAATCTGTTTTTTTTTTTTCTGTAACGGAAATCTTTTTATTCTAAGTATTAAGATTGCAATAGATATATTATGATGATGAGTATATTAAATAGCAGTTTAGCTTAACCGTGAAGTGTAGTGTTTTTCGTGATTTCCCGCAGTTGATAAAAATCGCTTTATTGTACTTTTTTTTATGTACTACCTAATACTTAAATAGCGCATATGGTGTGATATATAAAAGGAAGAAGCGAATCCTATTTCGATGAAACTATAACTGCACGTAGGTATACTTTGATAATTGATTGTTTTTTATTTTTCTGGAAATGTTTATTTCTTATCAAACCACGCACCTTGTTTAATTATCTATATCATTTACCATTATTTTCAACACTTCCTTATATATTCAATCCTGTGCAAGTATGAAAACTAGAGTTAGAAGATTTTAAGTTATAGTTTCATAAAGATAATTGAACTTCCTCATTAATTACCATTTAAGCATCATCAATGTCATGATTTAATACATTTGGCGGGAAAAACTGTACCCAAAACAACACGTCGTTGCATAAATTATGAAATCTTAATTTAATTACCTAAACAAAAACGAACAAGAAACATTAATTAATAATTACAGGTAAATAAAAATCTCCAGTCAATTATGGACTCTTTTATCAATCAATATCAAATAACACGAATCATAAAAATTAAATAGATTTGAACTTATATTATTCTGTTATCAGTGATCGACATCAACGAGTAATTAAACTGGAAACGTTCTAATCGTAAATTCTACTCTTCTAATTAACTATCACGAGACTCAAAGATAAGATTTGTATACCGGTTTTTAAAAATAAACGTTTTTGTTAATAAATCGTTGGATAATAAAAAAAAAAAGTCAATTGAAAAAATCAATGTATTCTATTCAATAATAAAGCTTTTAATTTGAAACTTTCCACTTTCGCTGTTAGATTCCCATTCGTGAGTGGGGGATCTGGGCGAGGAAATGATATGGAACATCATCCGTATGCTGGGGTTTTATATAGAATAAGTACTGTGTAGAACTACCCATTAAAATTAAAGTAGCGTAAACCAAAACATAAAGAAAGTTGTGTATTTTGTCATACGGACTTTGTATAAAATTTAGATAAATGTTTTTTATTTCTTTTACATCTTTCTTTTTTTTTTTTATTTCTTAAACATTCTTCTTTGTTGGGGGGCCAGCACTGCCAGGTCGTATAATTGGATACAATATTTGTATAATAGTCATGTTATGTGTATCATGCATCATAGCCGAGTGCTTTGTACTGTATACATAGTTACCAAAAATAAGAATTCAAAAACAAAGTTCCTCAACTCTAAGACCTTTATCCGTCACTGCTACTAGTTCCTCAGTGCAATTTTACTTATTTTTAAGTTACAATATGATATACATAGATAAGAGAACAATAGCACGACGTCGTAAACATATTTTTTTTGTTGCCATTCACAATTTCAAAAGTCCATTACTCAGTTGTTTAAATAATTATTTCAAAAACATTTAGATAAACTTATAATTGTTCTCCCAGCATCCAAAACATTAAAAAGTTTAAAAAAGCATATTTCTGTTTGTATACAAGTCAAACGTTTTAGAGCAATTTTTGAAGCCTATAATTTATTGTTTTATTTTAATTTCTTCCTCACTTCAAAATATTATCAAAGCCGCAATAAGGGCAAAAATAATTTTTTATAAAAGCCAACATCGACGTTTGCCTTTTGATATGAGGTTTATTCAAGGTAGATTGCAAATAACAAAAGTACTGATTTAAATAACACAAACACTTTTGAAAAATTAGTGTTTTGCCTGTGTTATTTTGTCTATGACTTCTACAATAAGCTTTATTTTGTTTTACTTTACACATAATTTCCTTTCCATTAATAACACGTGCATAGAAATGGCACTGAATCAGTTAATGAGCAAATTTTTTGATGTTTATCATGTATTAAAAACAAAATTTACCTAACTATCTAAATGTGTTTACCATCAGGCAGATTGAATCAATGTTCCGATCAATAAAAAAAAACACCTTTTATGATTCTTGAAGGCATGTGGAATAATAAATTTTTGTAATTCCAATATTACTAAGTGTGCTTCACCAGTCGTAAAAATTGTTATAAACAACTGATAATACATTGCATATTATACGTACTAATGCGCATTTTTCAAAGATAATGGTTTATTTATTTATTTCAAAATATTTATTAATAATTAGTAATCTATTTAGATAAACATTATGGCAGTACATTTTATGGCATTAAAATTTCTTTGTAATTATTTANCTTAACTATTTGCGAACAGTAATCTAACCTAGGTCTACCTCTACCACTCCTAACTCCTGTTTCTGCCTCTAATATGTCTCTGACTCTAGACCTTCATGCTTGAGGAGGTGTCCTGCCTATCTCGCCTATTTTTTATTGACTTCCATAAAGTCCTCTGTTCTCCTATTCTATGTAATATCTCTCCATTTCTACCCACGTTGTCCTCATCATTCGCCTATACCACTTGCTTCTAACATTTCAAAAAATAATAATTATTGTTTATTTTTTCCATTGGTAGGCCTTTTTGCTAGCATACTCCTTGTCCAGTATGCCAACAGTATTGAAGTATCACAACATTTACTTCATGAAATCATCGAAGATGTCATATCCATAGTTTTTAGTATACCAACATTCAACAAAATTACTTGTTCTGATGTAAACAGCACTAGACTTCGCTACTACCTTTACACACCCAACAACCAAATTAATGCGACACGTTTGAACCCAGAAGGGCAAGATAATGACTTGACAAATTTCGATCCTTCTTTGGAAACAAAATTCGTAACCCATGGTTGGTTGGGGGAAGTTAACGAATCATGGCCAGAAGATATCAAAAATGCGTATTTGAAAACAGGAAATTACAACATTATTCTCCTAGACTGGACAGCCTATTCAACTCACAGATATTCTAGATCTGCATGTTTTGTACCCAAAATAGCTAACGCGACAGCCCGATTATTGGTTCAATTGAAAAAAGATGCGAATTTAGATTTAAACAAAACACACTTGATAGGGCATTCTTTAGGGGGACAAATGGCTGGAATCACCGGTCAATTTATTCAGAACTTAACCAGTGGTGAGTTAAATTTTGAGTTTGGTTTCCCACTATACAATACACTATATATTTTAATAGTTATATATTCTCCTTAATTTTTTACATGCTCCTCTCGGGGTTCTTGCAATTTGCTCACTCACTCTTCTTAAACTAGAGGTAATTTGTAGGTGAAAAAGTCAAAAGAGTGACCGGTCTTGATGCAGCTGGGCCGTTATTTTGTTATCCGAGAGTAGACCATAAAGACGAACGAATAACTGCAGACGATGCCCAATTTGTTGACGGAATACACAGCAATGATGGGGAATTTGGTTGTAACATTGATTACGCCCAGTCTAACTTTTATCCAAATTGTGGACGAAGTCAAAGCGGTTGCACGAAAGTCGATGTGTCTCTATTAAACATCACAGGATCTTTTAACGAGTTCTTTAGCAAAAGTACGAATTTTTTCTTAACACCTGTTATTGTTCCATTTAGATAATAGTTAAAAGGCAAGGGGGGATAATTTGGTATGCGGTGTAGGGCCAAAAAAAGGCACTATTTGCATTAAACAAACGCTTTAAAACAATTATATCTTAATGAATCAGTTTTGAATATAAAATAGTGAGTAATGCAAAGTTTGGCAATACTAATTAAGACCATCTTAATTTTTCGAAAAAATAATCCACGTTACTTTTCAGTTTCATGCAGTCACGGAAGATCTCATCAATATTGGCTCGAGAGTATATCAAAAAACGATTTTTCATCGCGTTCCTGCAGTTCTTGTTTATTTTTCCAGGGGAACTTGTGTTCTGCGAATTCGGATGATAATGTTATGGGTGAATATACTTCGTTTTCTAAGGACGGAGAGTATTTCTTGAAAACTAACACCGAAGCGCCTTTTGGTCTTCTATAAACAGATATATTGTTTTAAGTTTTTTAAGTGGAAAGTGTACAGTATAAGTTATTATGTTAATGATTCTTTTAAAAGTTTATTAGATGTTAATGTCACGAATTCGTGTTTCCTTTTCCTTTAAAAGCCACTTACTGTATGTCTGTATCTGCTCTATAACAAATATTAATTTTGCAAGCGCGATAACGAATGTCATCAAAGTCGGAAAAATAAGGTGACAATGGAATATTACAATTTTTAAAGTGTATCTCTTCAAGGATACGAATAAAGTTATTGTCTACTTATATAAGCAGACACAATACTGTAATAAAAAACAACATTCATTTGCAAAACAAGGAAATTAACAAATTGTGTGGATATTCATTATGAACTGTATTGGAATATATTTGCTTAAATTTATTAAATTTTCTTGCATCGCCGCTAATCTTAGATATTGTGAAATATTTTAGTTTTCATTTTTTATCCTTGATGTGATTATTTTAAAATTAATTTTAACCAACCTCAACTATTCCACATAATAAAGTTGTTTACTTATTTACATTAAATCACCCCATAATTTAGAGCTGCTTCAGAATTAATTAGTAATTAAGAATCAGAGCGTGGAATGTTAGAACAATAGGCGAGATATGTGCTCAGGCATGAAGGACTAGTTAGAGACATATTATAAGCAGAAACATGAGTTAAGAGGAGAAGAGGTAAACCCACATTAGATTATTATTTACAAATAGTTAATGATGTGGGATATTCTAGATTTAGGGAAATGGAGGTGGAGGAGGACTTACGACCTTATGATTCGAGGATGAATAATAGTCAAAAGTTCGTGATTATTCTTTTAAAAACAAAAGGCACCAAACAAAATGATCAAGTACATAGAGATATGCATCAAAAGTTTATGAACTAAAAGAATTGCGTTCTTGTAAAAGTTCAAATGTAAATTTGTTGTGGGCAATCTAATGAAGAGGAGACGGCGCCCGTTAAAAATATAAAATTACGCACAAACTAAATAAACAAGTAGATATGATAGCAAAACTTATAAAGATCTGAACATTGAGAAAGGGAAGCATTATTGTGGAAAAATTTAAATTACAAAAGTACCTAGTCGAAAGATAATTCCAAAGATGAACTTGTTCTTTTGTTTGATAGTCGTGTCAACAGTTACAATTGAAAACAGTGAAGCTGATATAGAAGTTGACGAAACAATTCTTCAGAGGATAGTAACCGATATTTTGAATATACTTTATCGTGCTCCGATTTTCGAAAGAATAACTTGTGATTCCGTTAACAATAGTTTAGTGAATTTCGATTTGTATACTTCTCAAAACAAGGATGAACCGGTTATCCTTAGGGCAGGTGAAGTCAACAATTTAACTCTATTTAATCCATCGTTGGAAACGAAATTATTGATACACGGCTGGATTGGCAACGTAACTGATTGGATGCGATTGGCAAAAAATGAATATTTGAGAACCGGCGATTATAATATAATTTTGCTAGATTGGTCTGCATATGCTCTAAACATGTATTCTCAGAGTGTTTGTTTTCTTAAAGAAATTGCCGAAAAAGCTGCTCATTTGTTAATTCAAATTAGAGATGAAGCTAATCTTGATTTCAATAAGACGCATGTAATTGGTCATTCCTTAGGAGGACAAATGGCTGGACTAATTGGGCAGAATATTGACAAACTCACGGGAGGTAAATATTCTAATGTTAGGGGAAAAACCGAATCGTTAAATTTCTATTAGTTTGAGATATCTACTATTCTGTATATCAGAATGAAAACTACTAATAATAAACTAAGTAGAATCAAATATCATATTTTATGCAAGCTATCTTTTACATTTTACGTAGTTGTCTCTGTTTAATTATTAAAATTATAAACTTATAATAATAATGAAACTAGTGAAACTGAAACTGTCCTTGCTGAATTACCTTTAGTTTACTCTCGACGTACAATAAGATTTATCAGTATTTCTCTAGCACAATGTCTTTCTAGAGACAATTTCTCAATTTTCCGCCATGAACACCCTGTTTATTAATCTTAAATAAATAGAAATTATCATAAACAGTTAATACAACAAAAAAATTCACCTTGTATTTCTGTTAGCTATTTGAAAGGATCATCAAGTGTCTCACCATGAACTGCTACATATAAATAAATTAATATTACATAAAATCACCATGTAGGTACATCTATATTTTTGGACAATGTGAAAAGAAATATATTTTTTTGGTATTGTTTTCACTATTAATTGAAAAACATTAATTTTTCACATCATAGGGGATTATTCCAGTATTTCGCAAACATATCATTTTTTCTTATTTTAGATCTTTCATCCCCCAGAATAAGATAAGGTAAAAAAATTCCTCCCCCCCTTTTAAGAGCTTTTAAGCTTTAAGATATTTTTATTTGATTCTAGTAACTGTCTTTCATTAAAAAACTTGTTGATTGTGAAAGAATTTTTTTTTAAATTTTTCGAAGTTATAATTTACTATAAACACTACAATTGCTTTGACAAATTACGAAAAATTGAAGCACCGCTCCCATTAAACATGCTTACATATTATTTAAATGGTCCTAAAGACGCGTTAAATTTCCAATTCTAGAATTCTTCTTTTTAGGTGAAAAAGTATACAGAATAACTGGCCTTGACGCTGCAGGACCATTGTTTTGTTATCCTGTTTTAGAAGATAATGATAAACGAATAACTTCCGATGACGCTTACTTTGTCGATGGTATTCACACTTCCGAAGAAGATTATGGCTGCGACGATCCTTATGGGCATGTAAATTTTTACCCTAATTGTGGTCGGACTCAAGCCGGTTGTGAAAGTACTAATTTTACTTTTTCAAACATTACTGGAAGTTTACAGAATATTTTTGATAGAGGTACTGAAAAACGAATTTTTTTAAATCTTTTTTATACATTGTTTCCTCTGCAGTTAGTTGTAGCCATCAAAGAGCACCTATTTACTGGATTGAAAGTATTAATTCTGATGGTTTTGTGTCCGTATTCTGTAGTACATGTGCAGAATATATTTTAGAAACGTGCGAAAGGGATGAAAACATTACTACAGATATCTGTATTATGGGAGAGCATCTATCATTATCTACTCCTAAAGGGAAATATTATTTAAGCACAAGATCCACGTGGCCGTATGTAATGAATGATGATGAATGATCTTTTTATCAAGACTGATACTTAATTAACTGATTATGTTGTATATCGATCAGCTTTTTGTGAACGCTTTAATTACTTAATATTATATATCTATTAATCAATTATTGAATATTTAACTAGAGAACCATTGGATGTTATTCATTCAGAAGATTAAAACAAAAATGCATATTAATTTTCTTTTTTGGGTCCGCTACGTGCTGTCCGTCTGATTCCGACATATGTGCGCGCACCTTTAAAGCATTAATACCTGTTGATTATTTAAATGAAAAACAATATTAATGTAGTTGTATGTATATTATAATTTATGTTCACAGTCAACAATTTTACATATAATGGAACAATTGAGGCTAATCACAATTTAAAGTTGAAATATAAATGGCAACATTTGTATTTCGTAATAACGTGGCAATTACGATTTAAAGCCTTTTTAAACATAATAGAAATTGCTTGCATGTAATTGAAAAATGTTGGCCCTTTTACCTAATAAAAATTGGAAATTCGATGTTTCAGCAACTGTGAAGTTTATATATGTCACCTTGGGCACTAACAATACTTGCCCAAACAAGGGTATGCACCAAATTATTAACTAAACAAATACTGTTACATCATACTATAAGTTTTAAACTAATATAACTCTGAATGAGCCTGCACAATTCAGCATTATAGTCATCTAAATGAAACACATGATTTTCGAATGGTTTTCTTTATACTTCCTCCAATTCCTGGATGTAAATTAGTCCTAAATATTTCAATGCATCCTTGCAAAATAAGTCATTCATATAAATTAATGAACCAACATGTATTTTTGTAGTCCAAGGTGATCCTGCAACATAGTTTCATAGTCAACTCTTATGGCTTTCTGGCATATCCTTATTTTTCTTTTGTATGCCAGAAACAACGCATATAAAACTAAAAGTATTATACATATCGTACCTGCTCTTTTGATATCTTAATTCACCTATTTCTATATTTATTTCCAACTGTACTGTTGATTTATGGGCGACATGAATGGTGCTACTGGCTGCTTACTAATAATCAAAACATGAAAAAACTATGCTATTGCTGAAAGATAAATTAAAGTATTATCATAACATTACCTCATAAAGTTATTATATTATTATACCTTATTTTTCAAAAAGTTTATGTGGTACATTAAACAGTTGACATTAGAAAAATATTGAGGTTATAAATTAAAAATTCATAGAACTATGATTCATAGACAGTCTGCTGAACTGCTGCCAACTGTAGAATATCCTAACAAGTAAAAAGTTCTGCTTTGCTGTGTTTTTATTTTATTTTTTCTTTTTAATAAACCAATCATTTTTTAACAAAACTATTTTGAAATTGAAACACTGTACTTTAAAGTTAATGAAACATACATTCCTACCATTTAAAATTGCTGTTTAAATCAAACCTTCCTGTAGTATATTATTCATATTCAGCTTTAAAACTCAATTTGTGTGTCTAAAACAGGAGTTATCATAAAATCAATTTTCTGTTATTATTGGGGTAAGAAGGATTATTTTAGAATTTTCTGTTTTCGATATTTGAATTTTAAAATTTCGACTTGAAGGGTCTTTAGAAAAAAATAATATTGGCAGTATTGCTCACGGAATTAAAAATGTCGTCACGAATTTACACATGTGCAAACTTTTGGTTTTATTGAATACTTATGACGCATTTTATCTGTGATAAGATAACGTGTAGATTAATTTTTAATTACAAAGAATTCCTAAATATTTCTTGTGTATATGATATAGTGTTATCTGAGTGCTAGTATTTATTTTACCCCAGAACCTCTACGTTGGTGAAATTTGTTGATTAGATATCATATCGGAGATAATATCTCCATTCAACTCATCAGAAATGATAAGATGTACATAAAGGAGGCAGATATTGGATGAGTAACTTAATATCAGGCAAGTATTTAGTGGTCATAGTCTGGCATAAAGCCAATGAATCAGAATTTTGTAGCACACCCACAAACACCTGCTCGTAGTTGATGATTTGTTTTTGTTGTAATAAGAATGTGGATATTACAAATTGTTTTAATTGTTTCTATAATATGCATAAAACATTGAAAGAACAGAAGAGTACCAATGTTTGCTTTTGTCTAATAACATAAAAATACCTTTAGGGAGAAAAATAGATTCTATTTTTGCTTGATAGGCATGCCAAATTATCTTGACCCATTACCTTAAATACCAGCAGGGTAATTATCTTCCTTTGAATTCTTTATAATGTAGTGTTCAAAAAATTTGTTTTGTTTTTAAATTTCTGTTGCTCGTGACAGGTACTAACATTATTTGTGTTCAGAAATAAAAAGAAATATTGAGGTAACGGGTAGTTTGTAGAAGAACCCCATTCAGTAACTATCATCTACAACACATATTCACAAATCACGTCAAGGAAAAAAGTTATTCAGTTTTTAATTAAAAATTACGTCAGAATTGTTTTATAGCATACCTACTATTTGACTAGATTATAATTTTAAAATCATTTGTAAAAAAACGTTGTATGAATGATAAGCTAGTTGGAGACGTCCAATCTGAGGTTTTATTAAATTATAATACTTAATAGAATCAGTAGCACTTATTACTCAAAATTCTAGGATAATGTCAGTTACATATCCATAGCATTGCTGTTTTTTTATTATCTACAAATGTAGAATGAACATTATTTTGCAACTGTTATTATTATTTTTTTAGCACCTTCAAAACGCTAATTGGTACATCTTTTGATTTATATCAGAAATCCCCTTATTTGTATGCCTATTTTTGTTTGATTGTGGGAAGGAACTTTATTCCAATTATATGTGTCCTGCCTATACAGATTTTATGCTAGAACGACCTTTCTGACTTAAACAAAAAGAAAACAAAATTTTAAGACCACCTACTACTTAACAAAATAGTTTACTTCTAAAGCATGCTTATTATTTGTTATACTTAATTTTTGTATTCCTTTTGTGAGGTGGAGGATACCTATCTATGTTGTTTGTGTTCGTGTTCCATTATTATTTTACTCAATGTTGTTTTGTGATAATGTTATGTTTTGTTGCTGTCTGTGTCACGTATATTTATGTTACCCCCAGGTGTGTTTTGGGTGTATCTTTCGTGGCCATGGATGGAGGTGGTGGACGCAGAAGAATTAATCCAAAAACTTCTGCTGAAGACCAAGCTCTCGACCAAATTGCTAAAGAGGTGAGTGCATATGTTTACTATGCCCCCCTTTTAAGAGCTTTTTATCGACATTTATCATAAAAAGTTAGTTATTATGGCCAAATGGAGTTTTATTCCATTTTGGCAAATGCCAGTATATGTTAAATAAAATAAATTAATCTTTGAATAGAATCATAAAATTTTTTCATGAACTGCACATCAGATAAATTAAATATTTTATTTATAATCCTTACTATTATTAATTGTCCTCATTATTATAAAAATGTCATTAAATAAAATGACTTTTGAATACGTCCATGTATAATATTTTTACATGCATCTGCACTATTATTACATTATACGTAATATAAATTTTTACTCTGATGTAAAATAAAATTTTATTTTGAGGAGCTAGGTAAAACATAGTGATTTTGGTTTTTCTTTTACTTCTGACTTTAAAGGGGAACATAATAATTTCATACACATGATACTATCTCAGAATAGGGGAAAGACCGTTTTAGAAACGTAGTGAACATTGTAGGGTGTATCAGGAAATGGGTGTTACGACTTTGTAAGTTCACTTTAAAGCGGAAGAACGTTGTATCAAATTTCCGTTCTTATAAGCCGTAAAAAGAAAATAAAAATTGAATCTGTTCCGGTAATAAAACAGAGTGTCTAACTCAAAAAGCTTTTACATTATCTAGCAGGTAAACTGTATGATCTAAAAAAGTTCTTTTATGATAATAATAACGAAAACATTTGAAATGAATTCACATAAATTCATTGCAAAAACAAAATGTTTTCGTTTACTTTGTCCAGGAATTTCCTTAATGTGTAACTAAAGATTTTTACTACAGTTTTTATACGATTCTAGAATTTAAGATGTTCCAGTTAAGTATTGGTTTGTAAATAAGCATTTCAGTATGAAAATGTGTATATTGTTCAAAATGTGGGGCAACATACTGCGAATACGTGAAATATACGAAAATATCGTACTCTACTTCTAAATTCGATCTGTCGTAAAAAAATTGCCCGTGCTGAAATTGTAGACTCATGTTCAAAAGTTTATGGAACTCTAAAAAAATAATTTGAATAGAATTACTATTTACCAAGTTTTTTACAAACTTAATTACACAGTCGAGTCTGTGAGAAAAAAAAAGTTCCTTTGTACTTGTTGTATTTTCCTACCGTAATACGAAGTCCTTTTCCAATTCAACCCCCTACAGACAATCTTATCATTGCAATTTAATTCTTTGCTTTTCCACTTCTCTGCTACCACCTTTCGTAACATTTTCAACTCCTTAAAATAGATTCAGTTTTAAATAATTTATTACCGATATTAATTTGGATTTCGTGATGATATTAAAACAAAAATCGGAAACATATCCTTAAATTTCCTAAGGAATTCCGCACCGTAAATTCAAAATTTATGGCCTGAAGTGTACTTAATATTGTCAAATACACATGGCCATGCACCGGTCGACTTTTCTTCCGGTGCACGTGTTTATTTTCGTTCCCTTTTTAATGAACCCGCATGAACGGCGACATCATCGTCGGTGGGTTTTAAACTCTATGAAATTCTGGGGGAATGAACTGTCGCCGTGCGCCGCGACGCCCGTCTGGACGCCGGTCGCGTCGTCATAGTTTGCATGTGCACATCTCGTTTGTCGGGTTTTCCTTGGCTCATGTATACCGTTTGCGGTGGACATCATCTTCTGCGAAGGTATTCTTTTGAGCCTCTAGGAAGTCGTATTACTTACCGTTTTTGTAAATACAACAGTAGACTTCGAAGTTGTTCTTCTTTTCTTCTAATTTGTTTGCTGGCAAATATTATTAACTATTTCGAAAGATTGACGAGAATTTTCGTTAGAATGTCGGTCGCCCTTGGTGATGAACTTTTGTGACCTGTGCGATGTCATCCATGAGATCGTGAATTGGAGAGAATAAGCAGAATACGCGTTCCGAAAGTGTGCTGTTACGCCCTTATTTTATCAAACATGGATAATCGAAGCGGTTAAATTTTATAGACTACTATTTTGTTGTTGTAATAAGTAACTACTTTAGTTTCTCTCGAAGCTTCATGGTTTCTCTACTACTCAAGCAAAATTTTTACCAAAAAAAATTCTAATTTGAATTTAGGCAATATTAAGTTTTTTTTTATTAAACTATCAAAGCAATGGTTCAGTGTACAATTAAACTATTAAATTATTTGTAAGAATAACTTTAAATTGAAATTTTTCTTAGTTTGTACAATTTTCGTGTGCAATATTGGTTAAAGTAAATGAGGTATTCATTCAAAGTGCAGTGTATCGTCTTGTGGTTACAGCAGTTTATTTTAGACTCGACCAAAAGGAAAACCTTCCCCGCACTTATGCATTTTCAACCAGTTCAAACCTTCTCCTCGTTAGAACACTTTTGTTTTATCTTATGTTAAAATGTTGCAGTAGGTAGTCGATACCATTCAATTCAGTTAATTTTTTTTTGTAAAATCATATCAACTTCTTATTATAATTGTGAGTAATAATGGAAGCAGTTGCGAAAATGCTACATTGAAAAACTGTCTTTGAATTTTCATGGTACACAATTAACAAAAAATCTTATTGCCAACAGTTTTGCCGAGATAAAATGGTAATTACCGCAATTAACGGTTGTTCGTGTTTAGAACGTTTAATAACACACGACAATGACAAAATCGCGAAAATATTTTTATACCGGTGTTACAATTGTTTTACGAACAGTGTCTACGAAAACATTACAAAGCGTCTGCCTTCAATCGGAATGTGTAAACGATAAATTTTCGAATATTTCATTGTATGAACAAAAACGTAAACTTTAAAATAACAAGCTGCCTGCCTGATTAAGTAGCCTGACCGGTGGTATATGTCATAAATATCTATTTGCATATCATGAATGTGTAAAGTGGTCACAAGTGATAATTACTGAAACACAGTCGACAAGTTAACATTCTGAAAGATGGTGTTTGGTCCGAAAGTAAACGGTTACCATTTGGATTTTTTGAAACAGTTTCAAAGAGAACCCTCGATAACTGACTGTTTGGAAGAAACGAAAAATGAAATTTCGAATAGCGTTCTTCACTGCTCCGGATTACTACAGAAGAGGAAAAACGTAAGTTAAAAAGAAATGCCTAACTACGGACCTGCTCATTCCAATTCTTTACTAATTAAGTACGTGTGCAGGTACATATGGATTTATATTTAACTCTCTTTTCGAAAATAGCCTTGTTATAAGGGATAAAAATAGGCTCAGTTGTTCTTTATGACGTTTTCCAATAAATATTAATCGTTTAGTGAAATAGGGATTTTCATCGTTAAATAAATGAGTTACATAACTAAATCCATTCCATTTTCAACTTCTTTTAAACGGCTGTTTATTTAGAAAAACTTGCCAAATAAATCTACACTTTTCTTTCAAGAAAAGTGAATACCTACATTAAAATTATAAAATATGTTATGTTTTGAAAACTTTTTATTACAATGGTTATGTTTACAAAGCAATAGCATTAATATAAACGTTTTTCCATTGTTCTCGGTGCATTATGAGCAATTCAATTACAGTTCAAATTGTATATTATTAAACTATTACAACAATTTGCTTTAATTAAAATTTTTCAATGAATGGTCGAGTAGAATACGTATGCAATTCCGCAGGAAGTTCTTTTTTCAAAAAAGTTAAAGCTTTCATCGCAAGCGCCGCTATCTCCTGTGGAAAATCTGTTGCGATTGACATTCTCAGGGATCGCAGGAAGGGCCTAAAGTTCTTCACTGTAAGGAAGGATCTTGCACACTATCATATTTATGCTTGCTAACAAAATATTTATTTAAATGATTCTTAGAGTATTATTATATGCCTTTTCTAAACAAACTTTTCTGAAGGTATCTCAAATCTCATTTTTCATCTGTAAAATCGAAACCTCTTTAGTGTTACTTCTTCAGAGCTCATTAAAGCTTTCTTTTCATCTGATAGGGGGTTTAAAATTTCTTCGGATTCTGGATTTCTCACCTAAGAACACATCAAATATTTTAAACAAATTAGCTGACTTATGTAAGTCTTGCGGAAATAAAAAATGGTTTCATCAAGGTTCAAAGCTGGTTGCATTTTACGAATAATACATGCAATTACGAATAATACATGATAATAATAATGTATTAGAATCACTAATTGTTAAATTATTGATAAAAAAGTTCTAACGTCGTCACCTAACTCCGTATTTATCTTTTTTTATCTACTATTCATTCAAGAATTCTAGTAAGTAAACCAATTGTTAGAAAAAAACCGATAAAATTTCTCGTATTTTCACGCATATTTGTGTGAATGCGGTAATTGATAATAACAATGATCTTGTTATTTTTAATTATGAATTGTGTTTTAAAAATGACTTTAGAAATGCGATTATTGTAGTGCTCACGGTTTCTGTTAGTAATATCACGGGAATTTCATCTAGGAAGACGTAAACTATGTAAAATAAATTGTCAGCTATTTATAAATGTAAAAATTATAACAATAAAGTCTTTAATTTTTAACCTAAAAGTAATTATTTTTAAAAACGCTTTGGATTTTTTTTGTTAAAATAAATTTTACATTCTGTAGCAGTCAAGAGATATCTTAATTTATTTTTATTGTGCAGTTTGCCTTTTAACGAGAAGTACTTTAAAATGAGATACATTAAAGATATCCAAAAAACAAAAAAGAAAAAACAATTAGTGGGTACCTAATTGTGACAATTAAATTATGAATTATTTAATTACAAGTGAATTTAATAGTCATTTTCCGGTTTGTACCGTTGCCCGTGTAAATAAACCGGACGAATTATATCGTAACTTCCTTTATGGTTTCCTTAAACATTGAAAAAATTATAAAAGTTATTATGAGACGACTACGAGGTGATTAGGTAGTGAGTTTTTTTTTCGTAAACCGTTTCTTAATTTTATTAGTGAAAAGTAAGTAACATAGCCAAGTTTTTATTTCCCATTTTGAAGTCCCCTATTTCAAAAAAGTGTAGAGTAAAAGAAAAAATATTTTCATGATGTTGTTAATCGCAGTAAGTCGTTTATAGGACAGAGAAGTGTAACGTTTGTTAAAGGGTTGCAAAAAATATGGGTGACACATTTATAAATGGTCCATAGGTTAGGTAGTTTTGTAAATTTTACAGGAAAAATTAAATGATGTCTAACACAGCTCCAGAGGCAAAAAACTGTTAATTTTTCCCCTATTTATGTCTTATGTGTTTGTGTTAAAATAAAGTCATACATGGGGTTCTAAATATGATTTATCGGCGATCATCATTGATTGTGTGTGACCACCCGGTATCTGTATTTGTAAAATTACAAATTCGTTATACATGTGGCAAGGTACGTTACCTTAGGAATATGAATCAACCTCTTTTCTGTTATAATTACCGGAAAAAAAACAAATTCCTTGAGATTGTAATTAAACTGATTGTTATTACAACTGCATTTTAAAGACCTTCCATCTTTTACGTCTGTTTTGGTGTGTTTAGAATGGAATTGGGATATTATAAATGATGTCATGCAGCTTCCATGACATCATCTCTAAATATTGTACTATTTAACCGAAAGACTTGTGCAAACTTACCGAATTACTTCCATTACGTTCTTGTTTGTTTTGATTTAAGCAAATTTGCACACTTTATTTTAGCATCTCGAATAATTCGATCTTTACTTTCATAACTGTACTTCTATTATTTTTTAAAAGCATGCAATCGTAACTACTATACCTGTTTAAAATTAGTAAAATATATTGTACTTACGAAATCATAAAAAATAATGAAACATTAATGTTCATAATAAAACCCCGTGGTTAATTGAGTGACTTTTTTATTTCCTTTTTTGCTATCATTCTATGAAAAGTCACTGTGTATAGACATTTAAATCGTTCAACACGTCAAAAGATTGGTGATTTTTAATTAAAAAATCTAGTCAAACAGCAAAATCTTGGAATATCGAAAGTTATTTTCATTATTTTAATACACATTTCATTCGTCGGTTATTTCTGGAATATCCTACCATCTTACTTCCGTAAAATTATACTACAAATGTATCTACGTAGAACATTCATTATATGCCGATGCAGTGTACTGGATTGAAAAGGAAAAATGCGTATTTTAATGCAATTTATTTTAATCTGTTATACCTAATTGCCATAATACATTTTTTTTGCTTTATCATGATTGAAAACGTTAAAACATTTAATTCATAAATGAGTTGTGCATGATATGTTACATTCATTTGCTTTTTCTTGATTTTTATTCTAAACGTAAACGTCTACAGTATGTATAGTGTAGTGAATAATTTTGAGATCTACACAAATGAAAGTTTTAAATAATTATTGTGGCTGTTTTTTTTTTTCGCTAAAAACAAATTACTATCAGGCTCACATGAACTAGGTATACATATAATGCGGTACTTTGTTATTTTTTTTTTATCATTATTACTCCTGTTCAGTTTTTCTGATTAACTTGGGAATAACTGCAAGGTGAAATCATTCGAACGAACACTCTTACCAAATTACATATATGTATACGTACGTATGTACATTAACTGATAAGATACGGTAATGTAAAATTCCAACACCCAGTTCTTTACTGTTTTTGTTGTATTCTACATCAGGTTTACTTTCGCTGAGTTTTACTTAGCACGTCGTCGATTCTTTCGCTATTTCTTTCAAAAATATGAAATATGTATAAAATCCAACGGCAAATAGACAACACCTGCTAGAATGTGCGACGACGACTGTAATATTAATCGTAAGTTAACGAAACCCAAGGACGATAGCGATAGTTGCTGCGGTTTAAGTGGGAGCCATGGAAGTCTGGACTCATTAGTCGATATACTCAATTCACTTGACTCAGACGAAGAAATTACAGACCAGCACGCTCAGAAAATCGAAAAAGTTGGTTCTGAAAATTTAATACGTTCAGAAAAAGAAGGAGCATCATCTGCCAGAGAAACCATAACAGATAACAAGGAAGAAGGATCATGTGATAAAAGAAATTACTTGCTAGAAGTTGTCCGAAACTGTTCATCAGAAGAAGGCGGTCTCATGAGAGACCATAAAACCCAAGGCGAGCAAGAAATGGATTACGAACCCACGAAATTAGAGTCAGAAGAGACCAAAGGCGATTTCCCTGTTTCGCGAGAGGAAGCTGTCCCTGCTTCCGGAGAGGAAGTTGTCCCTTCTTCCTATATTACTGTTCCTACTGAGGAAGAAGTGCAAACAAGTGTAGTGACAAACGGTGATCTTCTTCAACAGTGTGAAGGTGTAATCAGTGTTAACGAAAATGCCATCGGAAAATTTGACATTGGTGGAGTGACTGAAGATGAGTCCAATGAGGATAACAAGGAGTCAAATAAACAGTTTAAAATTGATGGTGTTACTAAGGATGAGTCCAATGATAATATAAATGATTTGGATAAGAGTGGTGAAAAGTTCAAAATCGGTGGTGTTACTGAGGACGAAACCTGTGATCATTTCGTGTCAGTGAAAAGGTCACGTAAAGGAAGTCATGGTTCGGAGTACGAAGGACGTGATAGTCCAGTGCAAAGGAAACTTAGCAGGAGTCACAGTGTTGTTTCTGACCACGATGACTCGATTATTATTTCCCAGTATTTGGGACAAAGCTCTGACGAAGTAGGTGCTATTATTATATACGTAGAGAATATTAAAATTATTTTTGAAAAATTTTCGATGGAAAATCTGAAAAATCATAATGAGTTTGTAAGAAGTTTTGTTTAATTTTGGTTGTTTTTATTTTAAAATTGGCGATGATCACTTTCAGCCTTATGAATTTTTAATGATGGGTTCCCTTATATATGCCGATGCTAATTAATTTATTAGTCATTTGTTTTCATGGATGCGACAAATCTTTTATTGTATGTATACTGCATGGTTTTCTGTCACCATAAGAAAAAATGAATTTTTTCGATCTTATACTAATATTCTTCTCATCGTACAAGAAAGTCCGTCAATCATTAAAAAATATTTTTCTAAAGTAGGTAACCACCTTATTTTGGTATTTTGATTGGTGAAGTAGTACAGTATTTATATTGAATCGAAGACCATGAAAATTATATGGAAAATTTTAATTTTTACCATGACAACAACTTCCAATGTGTTTATAAAATCAGTTACCTGATTCATTACAAAAAAACACATTTTTATTTTAATCGCCGCTTTCTAATTTTACTGGTTTTGGAAACCATTATTAAGCTCGTAACTGTTTACGTTGTTCGACAAGAGTCTCAAGATACCCAATAAATTTAGTAGTTTTACATTAAATGGTATTTTAAATATTACCGCATTCTTGGTTGTCTATGAGTTTGTTAGTGAAAGCTTACTCGTTCTTTTTTTATGTGATGCTATATATTTTTTTAATATGGTTAAATAACAACGATTGCTATTTCAATTGCTGATTGTAGTCAAATATTTTGCTATTGCATTATCAAGTTTCAGGTTATTACATTGATGGATAAAATTACCGTAGCAATTATTGAAGTCGCTAATTCATTAAAGATTAAATCAATGTAAAATGTAGTTTTTATGTGCATTGATTAAATATGAATTAAATAATTATGGCATATTTTTTGTCATTTTAGAAATCGAAATATATTCTGTCAATTTGCACAGTAAGTGCCAGAAACGCTTTTATACAAAGTAATTATACGATGTATTTTGAATCCATTTTATTGAAGTTTATATGCCGATTTATTGATATGGTTATTTCTGTAAAGGTATCTTCCAGAATACAACGATTCTTTTAAGAAAAACTAACATAAACTATCTGAGTAAACAGAAAAATTGTCAAATATATACGGTTATTTATTTTATTACTTAAAGCTACAAAAAGGATTTTGGAAAATTTCTACGTGCGTTTTTTTTTTAATTTTTTTCAGGCCGAGGCTCGTCTACTTGCCCGTAGGCAAGCGAGGGCTGAAGCAAGGGAAATACGTATGCGTGAACTTGAAAGACAACAAAAAGAGCAAGAGGAAAATGCTGATCGACAATATGACATGATCGAAGCTTCAAGTCGATCGACTCGAACGGTCGGCAGTAGGTATTTGTCGAGCAGAAGGAGTTCTGAGGACTCGCTTGAAGATGGGGGAAGCCTCAGGGAACTTAGAGTGAGTGCCCATCACATCCAATAATCGACAAAAAAAATATTACCTAAATTCTTTACTATCAGAAACTTACTAATATATTTTTTAATGTCTTACTGATACTTTTTTTAATATTCTTTGCAAAATCAGATATAATTATGTGTAGGAAATGCATTCTTTTTGAATATTTTTAGGCGTAGGCCTTGTTCTATAAAAAAAAAAAATAATATTTTAATCTGCAATTGTTGAAAGTAAGCCAAACGTGTATCATTTATCGCATCTCAACGTTCTTAATGTCGTTAGTTACTTAACAATTACACAAATGAATTGATCTCAACAGTGCCATAATATAAATTGAATTAGTTAACGTTGAAATAGTACAAAATGAGTAGAATATTAGCTCATTTATGGGAATATTTCGATTTGCAGCACGAGCTCAAAGAGCTTGAGGAAAAATTCCGAAAAGCTATGATAGCTAATGCTCAGCTTGACAACGAGAAAGCTGCACAAACTTATCAATTAGAATTGTTAAAAGATAGGTAAGATTATAAGAATTTCGTAAATTTATATCATTGCTAAAATAAGGATTGTTTAGGATAGAGGAAATTGAAGATGAATTGTCGCGTTTGAAGCGTGAACATAAAGATAAGTGTAGGGAACATGACCAGCTAAAAAGGCTGTCTGCTCGTCTAAAGGACGACTTGGCTGTGACACGTAGCGAATTGGAAGAAAGGGATCGGTTAATAGCCGAAAAAGGACTGGTGATTGTCATCGAGGAAGAACCACCTCTGATGGATGGCACCGTCAACGGTGAAATTGTAACGACCGCTAAGAAAGTGCTAGTCACCGCGGAAAATGCCCAGCTGCTCGAGTCCGCTGGCGAGGGGAGTCTAGGTATTTACAATAAATTGAGGAGCTTATACAGGGGGGGGGGTCATGGATATTATGACGAAATGTGACTATACACGCACCCAACAGTAAATAAAATTTCTGGTGTAATTATATGAAACAATCCTTTTTTGTAGACGTACGATTAGGAAAATTCGTAGCTGAAAAGAAGGATCTTCAGGATCAGATAAATCATCTTCGATTAGAATTAGAAGAAGAAAGAAATAAAAGAAGAAAATCCAGTGGTATTTCAAATGGACCAACGTCTGACGATTACGATTTGGACGATGTGCAAAGTAAGCAATAATACTACAATGGACTGTATTATAATCTATTTGGTGAAAATTCTTATTTAAGAAGTACAGCACTTAATACAAACGCAATACACTTAACGTCAATGTAATCAGAAGTACATAATTTCAGTAATGATATATGTGTTCCAGGAGATGTTGTCAGACAGTTGGCGGACTTTAAATTTAGAGCCCAAAAAGCAGAACAAGACGTGGCTACCTTGCAGGCTACGGTGGCACGGCTTGAGAGTCAGGTCATAAGATATAAGTCAGCAGCCGAAATGTACGAGAAATCGGAGGAGGCGTTAAAACAAGAGAAACGGAAACTCCAAAGAGAGGTAAATGTATATTCATTGTCATAAAATAAATATTTAAACAACACAAGTTAAGAAAGACGAAGGAGAACGTATATACTTACTAGTAATTCGGAATTAGTGGTCTCTGTATTACAAAAAAAAATGCAGGACGCAGTCACACGGCACAAACGTGTGTGATTAAAACGCACATCATAAGACTTTCGCAAGTGTCAAAAATATATGGGGGTGAGTGGTATCAGACGATGGGTACATGTATCTATATATACAGGAAACTCAAAAAATAATTCATAATGGCATTGTCCACTCCTAACAATATTATTAATTTTTGGAAATTTCTGCTTTCTAAACTCTGCACATTTTTGAATTTTAATAATGATGATGAATAACAAGCGGTTTAATTAATGAGTGTCAATAATGCTACGTTTTTCTAATTATTTTTTGTTCAGACAATAAGTGATCGTTAAAATGTGATATATTCTTTATAAGTAATTGTAATGCTAAATTCTTACTAAGAAGTACTATTAGGAATTAATATGTTTTCTATTGCTTTTTAATGACTCCTGTTTCTTCGCGGTCATCGTGATTGTTCTCTTTGCCGTAACAAAATTGTCTTGGCTATTTTATAGTTCTTCGCAATATGTAAAAATAACATTGGTTATTTCAATTCTGATAATAGAGGAATTTATGTTAGTGACGAGCAATATTGTTTTTGTTTGTTTTAATGGACTTTTATTTTATTTTTACTTTCATACTTTTTCTTCTTCTATTTTAATTGTCTACCTTTACTTCGTTACTTCTTTAGCTTTTAGCTTGTACAGGTGTGTTTTTGCTTCTTGTTTTTTCAGGAAAATGGTAATTTTTGGAATAATAATAGTGATATCGATGATAGCGAAGGTAGATGTTGAGTTAAAGTTTTACCTTGTTGCCTGTATACCCTACCAACGATTTGTTTTTAAATTGTACCTGTATCATTACCTTTAATTAAATCTAAAACACTATTGGTTCTGGTTCATTAATTAAATAAATTAATATGCACAGTAGTCAGCAGATAGTGTATTACGAGCGTGTGTTGCATGATTCCTTAATTTTATTCAGCCTAATCGTACGCATAATTCCATTTTATTCCACTAAAAATTACTGCATTCCAATTTCAAACAGATGTCATTTGAAATGTGATAAAAGAAAGATCGTTTTGGGTACATATATTTTTGTTTTTGATTTTTTTAGGCGAGAGAAGCTCAGAGTAGAGCAGAAGAATTGGAAACCTCAAACACTCACCTCCTCAAACGACTCGATAAACTCAAGAATGCCAAATCAGCCCTCCTAAAGGACCTCTGACGACCTTTTTAGGCTTATAGCCTTTTTAATACCGTCACCGAAGTTAGGGTCACATGACAGCCGATTGGATCGAGAACTGATTAAAAAAAAAGATAAGGAAACAACGTAACCAATTAGTACATGCTCAGTCGTATTAATTAATAATTAATAAGCTTCTAATTAGAGCTCTTAATTTATACTAAATCATAAAATTAACCACATCAAGCTTTTATTGTTTAATGGTAATAATAAAAAAAAAATAATAAATCCCTTTCAGGCAGTACATACGTCAGAATTGTACCTCTCTTTTAGAGCGTTTTTCGAAAGTTCGTATATAAATTAAAATAGGCGCATAAAAAATGAGAACAGGTACAATTGAATAATGGAAAGGACTGTTTACTTAAGATTTTCAGGAAACAATGTTTGTCTAACTACCTCTTCATTAAAAAAAAAGAAACTTTTTTGGTCTTTTAAGCAAAGCGTGGCGATAATTTGCGATTTTTTTATTCCTTGAAAAAAATCTTCACGTTACATTAGATCATTAGAGGTCTAAATATTTTTTATTGCCCTCCTCTCTAAATGGCTTCTGTTCCTTTTTTACCAAGTGTGATTTGCAACGTGTGAAAAAAGAAAAAGACGAACTCGTTTTTACATTCGATGAATAATAATTGGCACGTTGGCACTAACAGTGATAAGAAACGATTTGCTTCCAGTGTAATAAATACTAAATTAAAATACATATAGTTTAATGCTAAAAAGCAATCAAGAACTGTTGATAGTCAATATTATTTTTTGCAAGTTTAGTTTAAGTAAAAATCTTTTAAATAGTTTATTTTCCTAGTAAGTACTTTTCGGGAGATTAAAACAGTAGAAGTAACATTAAACCCCGATTCTTACCTAAAGAAAATTGCGCGAAATGGTTATCAATGGTGTACTACTATAATTATTATACTTACTGTAATAATTTACTTCCAAGAAGGATATAGTAATATCGGAACGCTATTTCGTTATTATCCTGTATTTTTCCTGCAATATACCTTCCAATATATTTGTTATTTAAAACATAATTTATTATGTATCTATTGTTTATATTTGTGTACAGTTTTAATTTGTAATTAATCGTACGATTAGGAAAATTCGTAGCTGAAAAGAAGGATCTTCAGGATCAGATAAATCATCTTCGATTAGAATTAGAAGAAGAAAGAAATAAAAGAAGAAAATCCAGTGGTATTTCAAATGGACCAACGTCTGACGATTACGATTTGGACGATGTGCAAAGTAAGCAATAATACTACAATGGACTGTATTATAATCTATTTGGTGAAAATTCTTATTTAAGAAG